ATAAATACCATTTCTATTGGTAATGCCATCCATGGTTTTAATTGAGTGCTAAGAAATCCATATAATCCAACTCTAATAATTGAAGCAAGTTGTCCTGTAATCATCATATATTTAGGACCAACAGAATCTAATAATTGTTTTGCATAATAAAATACTACAATTTCTAATGATACACTTGTAACTTGACTTAATCCTAAAATAGCTCCACTAGCACCAAAATTTTCTTAATAATAATAAAGTAATAGAATTAGTTACCCTTTAATAAGATTTTTATCAATTTTATGTCCTAGCAAATCCAACGAATGAAGCATCCAATAACATAACCATGGTTTACTTGCATCTAAGCCAACAAAATATTTCTCGAGGCCTTTGAGACCTTTTAAAACATAATCGATATGTTCCTCTCTATTTAATTTAATGCTTTTCGCACCAGAATAATTTTGATTAATCAAAAGTTATTAATTAAAGTTAAATAACAAATTAAATATATATTTTTTAATGTTTAAGTACGTTTTTAAAAGACTTGTTTCTTGCGCAGCTTTATAAATATGATACACAGATGCTTCAGTTTTTGACTAAAAAAAAATAAAATGTTTTAGATTGAACTTTCTCGCATAACATTTTGATATCACTAAATAAATAATTCAATATTTACCTGAGCAATTGAAGTTTCTGTTGCTACTCCATCTTCCTTGATAAAAAGACTTTCCAAACTATTTGTTCCATTCAAAACTCCCATTGTTGATTGAATTATTATTATAAGCTATTTAAAATATAGAAAATTTGACTTTTAATTCAACCAACCAAATTTCGCACCAATGATCACATGTTAGTTATTTTTTTTGGCACATGGCTAATAAAATGTGAAGCTTACACGATTTTTTTGAATTTAAAACAAATACAAGTAACGGTCCCTGCAAAATTATGTTTCTCATTATTGTGCAAACATGGTCTGATTTTCTCACCAGTTGTAATCCCTCCCTTATAATACATATGTAAACTCGATAAGTCGGTCACTCGATAAGTCGGTTTACTCGATAAGTCGGCCATAT